TTAAATAATGTAGACGAGGAAAGACATGGGTCCCCTGAAATACTCTTTAAATATGTCCTCATTTTTTTTTATGTAATATTTTGAAATGTTTTTTATAATGTCATTTACTATAATACCAGAAGCCAAAAAACTGTTGTAACCGGTAGGTAATATACATGTATATTGTTTGTGTAGTCAAATGTTTAATATTGTGAATCAATGTATTATAAATTATTTATACATTTGTTATAGGGCGTCTTATCATTTAATAATGAAATGAGATCAAGACTTTTGCAGTTTGTTACGGGCACATCTAGAGTTCCAATGAATGGATTCAAAGAGTTGTATGGAAGTAATGGACCACAATTGTTTACAATTGAAAGATGGGGCACCAAAGAAAATTATCCTAGGGCACACACTTGGTAAGAATTCAAATTATTCATTATATTTGCTTTAAGTTAAATTAATTTTTTTGTATATAGTTTTAATAGGTTGGATCTTCCACCATATGAAAGCTATCATGAATTGAGAAACAAATTAATTAAAGCAATTGAAGGCTCACAAGGTTTTGCTGGAGTGGATTAATGTGAATTCTGAATATTATATACAAATTACAGAAGTTACCTTCTACCAAATGCAAATCTATGTTAAAATAACATTACCCCTCCAATGATCACATGTGATATGACTATAACACTAGAGATAAATATAAAAATATAAAATAATAATCATTCCAAAATGTAATATTAAAGGATTGTAATTAAGATGTTAGTATTATGATTTTATATAACTGTTAGAACAACATTTTTAAGTCGCTTATTAGCAATGGCAATATATTTTTATAGAACATTTTTTTAAATTATTATTGGGTTGAATTCATCATCAGGGTAGTTTAGAATAGCTATCTGTTGAATTTTTAAAGTGTGTATACATTTATAATTATTCATATATATGTGACATACAAGTTAGTATCACCAGTTTAATTATAAAGACTTATTTGCTAATAAAATCATAAATTCTGTTATATCATATTTTTACGATGTGCAATTTAAAAAAAATCATTATATTTCTGTATACAATATACCTAATTATTTTTATTTATTGTATAACTAAAAAAAAATTATAACATATTTTTGATTGTTGATTTATTACTGATTGGAATTTAGATGGAGGATCTGAACTTCTTGGCCTATACATTTTATATTCGTTTTCTCAGATTAGAGTTATGAATTTTAATCGAACATATTTTAAAATATTTAATATTAAGCCAAAGAAATGCAAACATTAAACAGAAATTGTCATTCATAAATAATGTAACAGTTTTCAAATGACAACTATTGATTTGAGAGATAAGTGTGTATTAGTAGAATACAAAACTAGTCATTGGGACAATTTGCATTTTGCTGATACAACTATTTGAAACTTATAACTTATCGTGTAATCTAATAACAGTATTCAAACTTAGTAACTTGTGTACCTCATATAGAAATTGTTAGTTGCATTGTATGGATGTTATATCATATTTTTCAATTTTTATTATAACTATAATTTTTTTTTTAAATTATGACGTACATGCAAGTTTAAAAATTTCAGTGATCCTACATTTTTAAATATGTAATAGTGTTTTATAAAATTATTGTTATTATTTGTATTTTTTTTTTTTTTGAAGTATTTTTATACTTCATATTTATTTTATTATAATTATTTTTTATTTTTTTGAATGAAATTATTGTTTTTATAAATAATATACATTTATGGTGTCACAATTATATTTTGTGCCTTGTGACTAGATTGATACCTTATTGTTGTTGAATAATTAATTGTACTTAAAAAAAATATTATTTTCACAATATACACAACACTGGTGTGAACCAAATTTATTAATTTTTTATAAATAGTACCAAACTACAGAAATTGCACTGACAGTCTTACATATAAACTTAAATTCTTACTGTTCGTACAGATAATATTGAATGTTATTTACGAAGTGACAGAAATTTCAATTATGCTCACATAATATATTTTATACACCTAATATGTATTATATTTTTATTATTATTGAAGTTAATAATGTATAAATATACACGTAAAAAGACCTAATCAAATATTATGTTTGTTTTGTTTTTGAAAAAATGTACAAAACTCAATTGTTTTATCATTGTCATCCTTCATACTCAATGTATCCATTTTCGCTGGTGAAAAAATAAATCTTTTCATTAAATTACTTATTGTTCTAGTTTTAGTATATAATCATCAAATTAAAATTTTCTCAATTGATCTGAATAGTATAGGTTTAGCTAATAAAAATAAATTGATCCATAATTACAGTATACTCAAATCGATACATTAGTTTTGTTCAAAATTTTAAATATGTAGTTTAATATTACTCAGGACACTTGAGTAAGCACAGGATGTTCTCTATAATTCTATACAAATGTAGGTACACTTGTATGTGGTCTATCTCTTTTTAATTCGAATATCATATGCTAATCGTAACGTTTTATATTTTAGTTATTAGAGACATATTATTGTTTTATTCTCTATATCTTAATGTCTCTTAAAATAGATTCAAAAGTATCTTCCGCATTTCTTCGACACCACCATTCTCTAGTTAGATATGATTGCGCTGACTATTGGCATAGAACAATAGGTAGTGGGCATAGTTCTATAGGTAGTGAATAGAGATGCTCAATGCAATTTTATGACAATTCTTAACTTCGGGGTTCCCATAAAACTTTTGATTAGTTAAACGTGAATATCTGTATCATTCAACAAATTCCTACAATTTCGAGAAATATTTCAGTCTTATTCTCAAGCCGTTCATTTGAATGGATTTAATTTTTCTCAGCAGTTTCATGTAATGTTTGCTTATCTTTTTTTTTCCGTCCACAAAATATCCTGCCTTTAATGCCATACCATCTTTTTGATACATACCAACATTTCATGTTACATCTTTTTTCCAAATTTATCAAATGACGATAAATTGTATAAGTTACAATTAGTGAATAGTAAATAAGTATACATACACATGTAGCACTATGCGTTGAGAATGGTAGACTGTGTTGGATAAGAAGACATGAACATGTAATGTAGGACAAATTTTATACATTAAATATTTATAAGTAGTTGATTAAAAATAGCGCAACTGTATCTAAACTTGATCATTTTTTTCTTGCAATTGGGAAACTTAATAGTATAGAAACTACCAACTAGATAAAATTCTAATCAGTGTAGACTTATGCATTTTTAGATGTTTGTATTAGAAATATAGATTTAAATTGAAACTTATAAAATACGCCATAATTTTACAACCAGTAAATGCATGGCTTTGAATTTGAAATAAGTTTAAAACAGTAAATTGTACTAAAACAATTGAAAATAAATTGCTTTTATTAAAATTTTAATATAAAAATAATATATGAATATAATTATATAATAGTATTTTATAAAAAAACTAGCTGCCCGTGTGCCTCGATTCCGGGCGTTGTGGAAGCCGCCTCCGGCGCCTTCGAGGTGGTCGAGTGAAAATCGTTTCACCGGAAATTCGAAAAAAAATTGAGTCGTACCGAAAACTGTGACTGTCTAGCGGTCTTTTGTCGTCTGGTATAATACCGTGTCCCGCCGTATGCCCGGTTCTGTTTTGAATTTATAAGAAATTAGGAAATAAGAATAATTGTAATCGAACGTCTAGCTATCAATCATCGCTGTATGCAAATCTTTGCGGGACAGGGCATCTGCGTATGGGGATTGGATGCATGATGTGCGAATCTTATAACGTGCGTATGTATAAGTGTAGGAAGAAAATAAAGTTTTTAAATTGTAGTCAATTATATATATATATATATAATAATGATGAAATCCACGCGAAAACATGAAAAGTGATAACGGTAAGAGGGAGATAAGGGAGCGACGTCGCGAATATAGTCGTGTTTGTATAGTGAAAATCGTTCCGCCGGAAATTCAAAAAGAAATTAAGTCATTTAACTGCCGCAATTTAGAGTGTCTAGGAAGTCAGTCACCCGGCTCGACTTTGGGCGTATTCTGCCTGCAGGTAGACAATCCGACTTTGTCGGATAGCGGACGACGTGCAACGGTCGGGTAACACGATGAGGCATGCAATCCGAAAATTGTGACTTTGAGTGTCTTGCGGTTTTTCCTCATCTGGTGTAAATCACTAATACCATGTCCTGCTGTATGACCGGTTCTTTTTTGAATATATATAGACAATAATTAAATGCGAACAATTGTAATCGAAGGTCTAGCTATCAATCATCGCTGTATAGAAATCTAAGAGGTATAGGGCATCTGCGTATGGCGGATTGGATGCNGTTTTATTATATAAGATAGATAATATTTATCTATTACATCAAGCATGTTAATACTGAAAGCTTAACAGAAAATAGTATAAAATAAAATGAACCTAAAATGTTGTTAACAATTAATTATTATAATTTTCGTGCAACAGTCTACAACAGTTTAAAAATAGTGATGGTTGCTGCAATGTATATAAGAAAATAACCTGAAATAATTTCATATACTTTCATAAGTAATAGATAATAGTTAACATGAATACACTGTAAAAAACAATACAAATTCAAATAAAATTATAAAACATTAATACATTAAACCATATTAAATATAATTTATAATTTAGTGTATTTTTTTTTGCGTACAAAGTAGTTAATTTTTTTATTTTGACATTGCATCTGTTTGTGTTGTTTTTATAATACTATACTCGTCCCAGAATAAGCTTCTTCACCTCAATGGCAAACTGGTTTCCACTCTTCAATCTTGTCATTATTTGATAACTTCCTATTGGCATAAGGGTGATAAGGCCAATAAGGTTAAACCTGCACTACTGTGGACGAGCTTCTATGGCCAGTAAAATGTACAAAATAACAAATTTCAGTCATAAGCCTTGGACAATATTCTTATTTTTAAATTTGTAAATTTAATTTATTAAAAAAACACAGAGTAAAATGGATTATTTTGAACATATCCATTTGCAAGACCGAAACAACATAATATTCAGGTATGACATTCTCATAATAAAATAAAAAATAATTATACACAACATTATTAATAACGCATTATAATACTTTTTTTAGATGAGATGAATTGTCACAATAATAGACAATTATATATCATTAAATAAATTATTAAATACAAAATTAAACAGTTAATATTAATGGACGGATTGTTATATTTCTAATGGACGGATTTGTCTTTTATTTAAAATATCTTTAGAAAGTAAATGATGTATTATTGATCATAGAAGTTTCGTTCATGAGGAGGATACATTTGCATGACTAAATTTTTGCTCTCTCTTCTTTGTTCATAAGCAATTCGTGCATCCTGAAAAAAATAAATGTCTGGCTGTAATGATTCAATACTTCAATAAATAAATAAATATTCAACAAACCTTAAACAAATACCATGCTCCATATGCATGCACAAAACCTGATACAATAGCAATATAAAATGACCACGATAGATGATTATACATAGGATACATGAGCCAATCACGTCTCCAACAGTTGAATGGAAACAGGCATACAGTAAGGAAGATCAATACAGCTGGAAAAAAATGTATTCATATTTTAATCATTTTAGTCAGGAGATATACAAAATAGTAATATATTTTCAACTAACTAGTAGTTGCAGTTGCTAAGAAACATGCAGCTGATAGCATGTACTCATATTTAAGTACGAGACGTTGAGGATATCTTGTTATAACAGCAGCAATTATTCCTAAAGTTCCGAGTGATAACAATATTGCTAAAGTCATGCAAAGTTCCAAAAACAACAGCCATCCTTTTAAAACAAACATAAATGTTAAAAAAAAATGTGTACAAACTAGTTGTAATTTATTATAAATCATTATTAACCTGGTAATAACCATTCTCGAATAACATAATATTCTTCACTGAATACTGTATTGCAGCCATCAAAGAGTTTTTCAAATTGATAATGAGGGTATCGGAAGTGATCAAAGCAGTATGTCCATAAACCCATGTGCTTAAAATTTATGAAAGCTTCATCATATGATTCCAACCAATAAGGGCTAAAAATATTAATACATTAATTTTGAATAAGTAAACCTATAATGTTAAATTGTTTATAAGTACCTTATAAATGCAATGATTAAGAGAAATCCTCCAATGTAAATGATAACTCCAGCATCACTAATTAGTTCTAGAACAGGATAACATTTGCAGTTTAAAAAAAAATAGATACATTTGCATATTGTATCACTAAGTAATGATTTATATCCTTAAAGGATTAAAATATGATGAAATTATAAATCTAAAATTAAAAAAACCCTTGTTTATTCGATTCAGAACTTAAACCCAAGATTAAATATATTAAAATTCAAATTCAAAAAATTCTCAAATAATAGGAGGGGAAAGTTGAAATAAATGATAAGTAATTAATACCATTAACTTCCTAAAACACAATGGTTTGTATTGTAACAGCCTCTGTACTGTTGACACAGAGTGAAGGTAAAGAATTTGAGATATTAACTAATGTCACACTAATAAATTACATGGCTCTATTAAACTACACTTCTATATTTTATGGATGAGAAACAAAAATTATTTTTTTATAATATGTACTTGCTACTTGGTTGCTTGAGAACCGAACCTAGTCATAAAACTGTTTGTATTATAGATATTGTTTAGGAATAAATTGGTAGATAATGTTCTTGAAAATACTGTTACCCAATTGGTAAATGAACACCGAATGAATAGAAAATTTAAAGTGGCAATTTTATTTTATAACAATTAATGACATATTGCTTTTAATAGGAACAAGCAAGTTACACAATTATAAGTTGCCAAGTAGTAAATTTAAATAGATACAAAATAACAATCTTTTGTAATTACTTATAATTTTTTATAAATTAGAAAAAGAGGGGTCAAAATTAGCTTTCAACATTCAACTTGTCATGGAATGGTCGATTATTAGTGTTAACAAAGCCATGTCTAGACTCAGGATACATTAGTCGAAAACATGTCTGACTCCTCGTCATAAGCGTTAACATACATATTTGTCCTAGGTCTGGACGCGGCTTAATAGATATAAAAAGGAACAAAATAACCCTTGAAAGTGAAACTTGAAGGCTTAGCCCAATAAAAAATTATAGATAGTAATATATAAGAGTCAATTTCATCAACTAAATATTAGAGACGAAATTGAGATATTATTAGGGCAGTATATAAAAATCAATGAGTTTTAATATAGGAAATATTAAAATATAAATCTTAAGACTCGGTACAGAACAAAAGTCTGTATAAGTTACTTTGAAGGAGGTAACAATCGTACACAAAATTAATATAAAGAAACACTTATTATCAGTGAACACCAAGAGGGGTTGATTTCGTAAATGTCAGTTAGCAATATTAATATAAATAAAGAAAGAAATCAGTACGAATAGATGATTTATAGGACATCAAAACACAAATTTGTGGGATGAGATTCATCAATTTATTCAAAATGAAAGAACTGAACCAAAAATAAAATAGAACCAGTCTCAGACCAGAATGAACAGGTTTGCTCAATAGAGCCTCAATAGAACGTGGTGATCCAACGGTCTCAAAGTGTACAGTGTTAAACCATTTGTTATTCGTATTAAATCTAATTTCGCACAAAACAATAGTAAAATGAATTAATACGATTACGGTAATACGGTATTTGATAATATAACACTTACTAGATGCTTTCGGATAGTCAATTTTGTCAGAACTCATGGTAATGACTGTTTTAAAATACTTGAATAACTAATGGCATACGGTGTTGAATATAAAATAATAGTTATAACTTATAATTTACGTAAAAAATAAAAAGTATGGGTAGGTATTTAAAACTAAATATTAAATTGTATTTAAAATAATAAATAGTTCACTGTTTACGACTTTAGTACTTTACGAGCGTTGGTTCACGCCTTAGATAACAATTTTGCTTATACCAGTATATTATCTATTCTGTGCCAGTACCATTGTTCCGGCCTGCTGGGTGGATACATAAATGTTAACTGCTTATACCAGATTGGTGTACTTTATTAACCTGGTATTTATTCAACAACTACCATGGTAACACTTCTATGCTATTTAGTCTCCTTAGAAAATCTTCAGCTGTTTCTGTTATCAAATCGCTTGAACTTTTATTTTAATTTTTATCTAATTTTTTTTAGTTATCCTTCGGGCTCTGAATCCTTCACGGAATTGCTTCTCTGGTTTCTCAATAATTCGTGAATTTTTTTATAAATAAATAGTATTAGTATAGGTCCTGATATATTTATAGAAGTAAGTAATTCTTCACTTATTTTTGTACAATATAATAATTAAAATTTACTAACATTTTTGAAGCGATGGGTGGCCATCACGAACATGAAATCAAAATACCGGATTACAGAATATATAAAGTTGATAACGTACCAGAACTTGTGAAGGTGAAGAATATTTTGGCCACTGAAGGACTTAAAGATCCATGGTTGAGGTAAAGTTACTTTGAATTAATTATGGGTAGTTTTCATTTTACGTATATTGCCTATTAAATGTGCAACACAGTACAAACGCACATACTTAACTATTTGGATAAAAATTAAGCATAGGTACTATTTCTTTGCAGTGTTTTACAATGAAATTATACATTTAAAACTAATGATTAAATGTTGGTAATTAAAAATCCATTTTTGATAAAAAAAATAATATAGGTAATATACAGGTGCCCGTGTGGATATACCCTAATGCCATAGACAAGGGCCACCGCCTGGACAAAAGGTGGTTTTTTGAGGCTTTACCTATAAACTAAAGAAATGTTTAAAAATCATGAAATTAATGAAAGTAAAATGTTGAAAAGTTAACATTTTCAGAAAAATAAACTACAAAAAAGGATATCTTCAATTGTTTCAAAAATAAAAAACTAAAAATTAAATTTTTAACTTTTTTACCAAAGAATGAAATTAAATTAAAAAATAAAATGTATGTAGTCCTTATCTCTGTGAATCAAATAATAAAACAGATTTATTATTTATTTATTATTCGAGGAGATAATTCAATGGGTAAATCCTCTCGGAATACCCTGTAAATATAAACCCGCTTTTATAGAAATGAAAAAAACATTTGTGAATTAGCAATAAGTAGTTAGCAAATGATGCATGTCATAATAATATTTTACTATTTTACTTAATTAATAACATTTTTCACATTTAAATAAATACCAATTTTATTAGCTGATTAATATAGATATATCTAATACCATGTAAATTAATCAATATAATATTTAGGTATATCATTTAAAATCGCAAATTTGTTGTGGTTAGTGTTCAATAATTATAGAACATTTATTTTGAAATTATGGGTGGGCCATAATCTTATGTTATTAATATCTAAATATTAAACTAACAAGATATTGTATTAATACATTTCATTGTGAAAGTGGAGAGAGTGGTTTTAAAACGTTACTTAAGTCGCCACCGATATGTAATAATTATTAATAATTAATATATATAACATATTTATACGCATATATTTCAAACTCACTTTCAAAGCTTCCGAAAAATTCCAAGTTGAGCCCAAGCTCAAGCTTGTCAACCAGCTTGTCCTAAGCACACGTCTTTGTGTCTAGGTGATGAAAAAATTATATTGAAATATTATTGAATATGGCTAAATATTTTATCGCCTAATTTTTTTTTAGGTATATTATCTTGTTACATTGTATACATTTATTTATTCATATTATGTAAAATATAATTTGATGATAATATTTTTGTAAACTAATGTACTTGTTTAGGATATTATGTTTTAAAATATAATAAATAATGTCCACACATAATTATTTGTAAGTTTACTGTGTTTACTGACTGTTTTAATAACTCTTATGTCTTTATGTTTTAATCATAGGAATGAAGTTTGGAGATATCCTCCAAGTCGTGGTAGTCGTTATGCACAATATTTCAAATGTTGGTTCCGCGGTAAACGTGGTCTTACAATCGCTTTTGGATTAGCAGCCTCTGTTATTGCTATGGAAAAAACCTATGAACATTTTTATCCAGCAGTTCATCACCATAGAAAGCCTTACTTTCCATCATCCAGTGTTTAATTTAAGATATTAGTACCAAAACCAATAGGCTTCAATGACATGTCTAGAGGAATAATAATTAAAATATATAAAAGTTCAGTGCTATAATTTTTAGTTTTAGTATAATTTGTTTGTATTGCAAAAAAAAAAATTTATACAAATATATTTTATGAAATACAAGGACAAATTGAACTATCACGTAATGATTTATATGAGAAACACTTAAACTTTGTATCATAACTAAATTGTTTAAAAAATGGTTGTACCTAATATAGAAAAAAAAGTGACAGCACTATTCTCGTCTACTGTACCAACATTTTATAAATCAATATGATTTTTTCTCCTATTACTCTTATTAAGATTTATTCATAAAAAAAATTAGTTGTGTTCCTAGTAAAAAGCCAAGGTGATTATTTCGAGGGATAGGTTGATAACCTAAACTACCCCTTGGGCCTTGGCTCTTATTACCTCTTTAATCAATAGTCTTCATTGGGACTTTGACCAAATTTAATGGGGTTTTGGGAGATGAAAGAAAATGTAGGTGTTTTGTATCAATGAACCTTTCTGGTTATGATTACATTTTACATTTATTTGAGTTAATTTAGGTGTTAAGGAAACCCAAGTTGCATCAATCAACATGAGATTCTCAATGTGAATTTGATATATTAGTGACTAATTACCAGGGTTAGGATTTTATAGCATTTGCATATTTCTTATAAGATGCATAAGAATTAACATAGTAAGTTATGTTAAGCTATGTTTCATGGTATAAAGGGAGCTCAAATTATTTTATTTTGCATATTTTTGAAAATTTTTAGATTTTAGTGCTATTTTTGGATATTTTTTAGATGTTTTGTATTTTACCTGTTTTTGAATCAAAATTTTTTATATTTTAGTAAACATGTTTTTAGATTATTGTCAATCGAATTGTCAAAGTAAATACACGGATTAAGTAAACACCGATTATTATTATTATTATTATTACGCGGTAGCGCTAATACGACAAGCATAATTTCGTATTATTTGGTTCAAATTTTTAAGTTCTGTCTTCTGTCATTCACTGGTTTTATTGGGTTTTTTTTTGAGGTTTCTCTTGCGATTATCATCGAACGAGAGTTGAATGCGTTGTATTTTCTATTAGTTATATACAGACATGGCCTATATCAGTCGTGTACCCGTACTGATAGTGACCTAAAATTATTTCAAAACTTAAGTAACTACCTATAATAATTTCTAATGATAAATAAATTAATAATTGGTAAATTTCCGTTATTTTTTTCATATTTTGTTGTTTTTATTGCATATTTTTTGCGCACATTTAGTAGTATTTATTATTTAAGGTAATATAATAGCGCATATTTATAAACTCCACATAATGAAAAAAAGTCATATTAAATTAATACTCACCGTCAATCAATTCTTTTTTACTGAAAAACTTTGTGTTTATTACTTATTCTGACTAAACATATTTTCGAGGTCAAATTATTCTATTATATTAGAAAATTAATCTATCTTTTTCTTACCTATGATAAAATATTGTACATCGATTTTAATTTTTAAATTGTTATAGCTAGGTACTCCAGAAGGAGTTTTACAAAAAAAATTAATTTCAAATGTTATTGGATCGATGAAAATGATTATTTTATAATATAATATAAAGAACAGAAAATAAGTCACGTAGGTACTTGCATAAATACGTAAAAATTTTACATTCTAATAGAAATCAGTTGAACATTTTGACAGAACAGACTATAAATAGATACTTGGCTCTTTATGAAATATCAAGTATTATGTAGAAATTTAAACATACATTTTTCTTTATACTTATATTTAATTTACTTAACAATGTTAATTTATAGGTACCTAATACCTATGTCCGAATTAAGACCTAAAGTGCCTACTGCCTGTACTCTGTAAAATGTTTTTCTTAGTCCGTGCCGTATAATGAGTCCGGTGCACGGCGATAATTTATCCGACAATATTACGTGCAGCCTAGCGAATTCGCACGTTCCGCGTTCCTATTAGCAAGGATTGGGTTTGGGATATTGACGTCGGACGGAAGTTATTGACCGCCATATATTATATTATACTCTATGAGTGTGTGTGTGTGTGTATTGTTTGACAGATTATAGAGCGAGGAATTTATAATAATATTATACTACTAGCTGAGCTAACAAAATAATCTAGCTGTAGCCTGTAGGTATGATCTGAAAATCCGACTTGGCAAGATGAACAAAATTGAAAATATGGAAATGTCTTCGAAGTTATTGAAAAATACAAGATTATTGCATATATATGCATACCACTTGTCAATCAAATATTTGATGATAAAAACAAAAAAGGTAGAGTAATAGGAACCAATATACTAATCAAGTATGTAATATGCGCGAGAATTTTTAATTTGTTTACTTTTGTTAGCGTATATTTGATGATAAAAAAATGATGTTTGTGACAAGCACGTATTTGAGGGGGGCGATGTGGGCGATGCCCCCCACAAATACCTATTTTAGTATATAATAACGATTTAAACAATACTTTATTATTTAAATGAACACATTACTAAAAAAAATATTTTACAGCACTGCCGGTGGGTATAATAAAGATGTATTATGGAGGATTTGGACCATCCCTAAAAAAATTAATCGCCCCCCTCTCCAAGATATGGTCCCAGATACGTGCCTGGTTTGTGATACCTCTTCAAGCAGCCATTTTGTTTCTGATGTTAACAGTCCGAGTCAATATGCAATAACCCTGAGTTTCTCAAATTGTGGATCGAGACCCACTGGTCGGCTGTGGGTTAATTCTTGGTGGTTCGAAAATAAAACTGGGTTCACGACAATATACAACATGCCGTGCCGCCGAGTGCCGACAATAGTCACTGATGTA